CTCTATCTCTAACATCAGTTTCATTTGTAAAATAAAGAGGCTGTACCTACATTCTGTATGTCCAGTCTGACTAGAATGTCATAAAATCTGAAACTTGTGGTACTAAATACAAATAAATCAGAAAGCAAAAAGGGTAGCAGCTCAACAGATAATGTGACATGAACTAGAAGAAGAAGTTCACAGAAAAAGGAAGATAAACACTGCCTATGGGTAGAAGAAAAGCTCCTCAACTTCATTCCTAATTTAAAAAGTAAGTATTATGATACCAACCATTAACCATTTTCACCTCTAAGAGGTAGAGAATGTGGAGAAGGAGATACAGGTTGAGCATTCCCTATCCAAAATGCTTGCACCTGTGTTTGAACTTATCCAAAAGTGTTTCAGATTTTGGAATTTTTTTCCAGATTATAGCACATGAGCATATACTCAATAAGATATCTTGAAGATGGGTCAAAAGTCTAAACCAAAAATTAATTTATGTTTCACAAATACCTTACACATGTAACCTGAAGATAATTTTAAACAATACTTTCAGGGCTTCTGTGTTTTAACTGTAGTTTATGACATGAGGTCAAGTGTAGAATTTTTCACTATGGCTTTGTACTGGTGCTCAAAGTTCCAGATTTTGGAACATTTCAGATTTAAGATTATTGATGTACAACCTACATTTATATGCATTCCTGGTAGCATTGTAGAAACATTTTAGAAAGCAAATTCATTCTTCAGATTTTTAAGTATAGAAAATTTATGCAAGTATTTTACTTCTAGAATTTATTCTACAGATACTCTCACATACGCACACAAAGGCAGACATAGAAATATATTTCCCACAATATTTTTTGAAACAGTATAATATTGAATCTAATTTAAATATCCTTTAATGAGAGACTGGCTAAATGAAGATAAATCCATATCACAGAATTGCAAGCACTTTGTAAATAACATAGTAGTGAATATTGCCAATCGATCACCCTGACTGATCACTGATGCATGAAAGCCTGAGTCTCTAGCTTGCTGGCTTACTCTATAAATCTGGGACTTGCAAGGCTCTACAACTTATTCTTATCTTGTGTGTGTTGCTGAGATATGCCCCAGGGGCTAAATCACACTGTTCTGTGACTTCTCCCAGCTTCAAGCTATATAGGAAGGACCCTGGGAGAAACTCACACCACGCAATGAAGTGTGAAAGAGGTGACAAGACTCAGGAAGGATCTGATGGGAAAACTGAAGCCTACAGAAAAATGGAAGAGACAGAACACAATGTAGAAAAAGGAAGGGACAGTCTGCACTTTCTCCCTTTCTCCTGGCTTACCGCAGAAGAGAAAGGAAGATTGAATCTATAGAGACACAGAGAAAGTAGACTCTGAAAGCTTTCAGGAGAAACACAGCAGTGCAACAGATTAGTGAATGCTGTTTGCTGCAATAGCTGGTGAGTGACTTCATTCCAAGTGCCTGCCATATCCCAGGAGAGTGGTCAGAAGCCATTCCAAGGAATGGTGCACTGAGCCCAGAACTCAGAGCAGCCACAGGTTGGCTTCATTTTAGGGTTCCCAAGGTTAGCTTCCTACAACGACTGGGTGAGGGACAACAATGGAAGACAACCACGATCCAGGAGCCATGCTCAGTCCAGCAAGAGACTTGCTGAAGGGTTTAAGCTAAACAACACAGGAAACACACCCAGTTCCAGAGGCGATGCTTGGCCTGATTTGCTGTGGAACTGAAAGTCTTAGAACTGACAACCTTACCCTAATCCCACTCCTTGCTTGCTGGTGCTGCATCCAGCACAGATCTGGGCTGTAGATGGCTTCTTTATCTTCCATGCTTCCCAAAAAATAATAAAAATCTTTATCTTCCATGCTTCCCCAAAACAAGAAAATTAGCATGATCTGGCCATTATCATAGTGATGGCCAGTGTCATGAACAATATTATACCCCTTTATTCTCTTCATCAGTAGCTGCACTGTAATGGCAAGTAAAGCAAAAATAGGCTAATTGAAATAGGCAATTTTTATCTCTAGTTTTCAAGAGTGATTATTTTCTCATTATGTCTTATTTTGGAGGAAACATGATACTAGCATGAGCAAGGACATATCTTGAATTAGACACTGCCCAGAAACTACAGACCCCAGAACAAAACCACATCTTCAAAATCACAGAGAATTTTTTGTTTTGTTTGTTTTTCTGGCTGGTTGTTTTGTTTTGTTTTTGTTTGGTTGTTTTTGCTCTTCATTTTTTTCTTCTTTCCATACTTCCTCTTTTCCTCACCAGTTTCTTGGAGCTTGGGATATGTCCTTTTGTCCTTCTGCCTTGCTTTTTATTGCTTTTATTTCTTTATTTTCCCTGTACTGTTTCTTCTTCTCCCTTTTAATTTTCTCCCTGTAATTATCTCCTTTGTGTTTAGGCTCTATGTAATTTATTTTTCTTTTACTTCCATGTTTTGGCTTTTTTTTTTTGTTGTTAATCTCTTACCTGTACCTAATCTATAAACATCCTTCAACTCCCCAATAACATCCTTTGTACAACTTCTCTCTCATCCTTCTCATACAATAGTTTAAGGTATACATGTTTTCCTCTTGCATTCCCATTTTAAACCCTGTATCTTTAACAGTTTAACCATAAAGCTTTGTTACTCTCTTCATAATTAATGTTTTAAAAATTACTGTTGAACTTTTCTCTACCATTAGTGACGATATAATCATTATATTAAGTACATATAAGCAGTTAGTCAATACCTGAGTAACTTAATGTTTACATTATAATTGCTGATTTCTTCTCTAGATTTAAGTGTGGTACATAATTCATTCTTATGGTATGTTAATATCTAATTCATCTTGGATGATACCACTGTAGCTGATTCACTTGATATCAACATAGTTGCATAATTCTCAGTACTAATCTTAAAGGCAACACTTAGATCAACTTTGTGACATACAAATGGCAAGTAAATACATGAAAAATGTTCAACATCACTGGTCACTTCAGAAATACAAAATAAAACAATACTAAGATTCCATCTCACTCCAGAAAGAATGGCTACCATCAAGAAATCAACGAATAATAAACAGTTGAGATGCTATGGAGCAAAAGAAACCCTCCTTCACTGTTGATGGGAGTGGAAACGGATATAGTCACTATTGAAATCAGTACGGAGATTCTTCAAATAAAACTAAAAGTAGTAATTTCATTTGATCTGGCTACTCCCTTCCTAGGGTTCTTCCCAAAGGAGTTATAGGTATCATACTACGGTGATATATGTATATCCATATTTATATCAGCACAATTAACAACAATCAAATCTTGGAAGCAAATTATATGTCCATCAACAGAGGAATGGAAGAAGAAAATGTGGTGTTTATACACAATGAGGTACCACTCTGTCATAATGAAGGATAAACAAGTGTGCAGAAAAGTTTGTAGGAAAATGGATGCACCTTGAGACCATAATGTTAAGTGAAGTAAATCAGACACACAAGCTTAAATAGTGCACAGTGAACTTCTACGAACAATCCAATAGGTACATTAAGTGCAAAAAAAAAAAAAAGAAATATAATAGGAAAAAGGACAAAGAAAAAAGTTACTGTAATTCATCAGGGACAAAGTATCTAAAATGTATCTTCAATTAAAAGATTTTAAATCTAAAACAACAAAACACAAAGTACAACACAAAATACAATCTCATGTGGAATAGACTAAAGAAATTTTTAGAAAATATGGCATAAAAGAAAAAAAAATGATACATACAATATGCTTCTAGAGGTATAGAATATTCCTAAGAGACAATGTGAGAAATCAACAACTTTCTCTGTGGAAGAAGTTGTAAGTCTGGGGCTAAAAGGGAACTCGATCTTTTCTTTTTCTTACCATGTATCTTTCTTTTGTAAAAAGTTATTACATGAATCCTTTGCTGTAAGAATGAACACACTGTTATAAAATTTATCAGTTTTAAAAAGGGATTACAATAAATATTAATCTCTGGATTGCTGAAGAACCATTTAACTGTGAAGATTACCAAATTTTTAAAAAGTCAAAATTATTCAAAATAGTATAATCACCCCAGATTTCTATATGTGCTAACTGCAGTCTATAAGACATAATACTGCACAAATACTTTCAGTATGCAAAATATGCTAAACAGTTTGAAAAGGAATACTTTTCATATCTCTCTCTCATTGCCTCCCCTCTCTATTTTCCAAAATTCACATTCTAGGGGATGTTGTGACAAAGCAAAGGTGGCAAAAGTGCTAAGTCCAAGTGCGTGACAGTAGAAAATACTTTCATTTCTTAATTGTAAAGTCTGATTTAGACAGAAAAAAATTCCACGGTTAATTGAACAGTCACTTCTGCTATAGCTAATAAAACATGTATAAATATGTTGAAATATAATACCAAGAATGCATTAACCACAATGATTAATTATGAGATTGAAAAGTTACCTGAACATAGTATCAAAATTACATGTAAAATACCTAAGAAACTATGGATCTAAACAAAAACATGGTATTCTACTATAAAATCAGTAAACAGATTTATTGGGTATCAGATTTTGATATTAATTCAAGAAAATATATTCATAATTAAAACTACAAAACTGCCTAGAAAACAAATTGGTAAGTAATACAAGCGTAGTTGGAAACTGTATATAGTCCCTATGGCACTAATCTTGCTGCAATTTCGAGAAAACTTCAGAGTCGTTAGAATTGTTATGTCATTTTCTCTTAAATGGTGAATCAGCAAGTCCATGTCCTATGCTCCTCAGTGAAAATTAAAATTTCATAATTTTATATACAGTAAAACACACATATTAAACAATGAAAATAATATCTCTATTTTAAGATGAAAAATAACACATGCAAAAAATGTTAATATGTTAATCTATCTGTGTTTCACTGTATCAGGGAAAATTATATATAGGCACATCCTTTAAAATTTTCAATGAAGCACTGAATTCTAAAACATCAGAATCAGAGATTAATACTTTTAAAAAAAAAAATAAACAGTACCTTTTATCTGCGTAGCAAAATTCAGGGTCAATTTTGCAAAGAGATCTGGATTCTCAAACTTGTCTTCTTTCACTTTTAACCAGAAACAGGTCTCAGATAATTCTTTGGGCTCAATCTAAAACAAAAATAACAAAAGCAAACTTCTAAATTATAACTTAGTATTTATTTTTTGAAAGACTTCACTTTCACAAATGATGAATTACAATTCTTTCATTCATCTATCCACTAAATAAATTTTAGGATCTTTCAAAGTAGCAGTCTTAAGGTAAACACTCACTGGGAAAGCCTCAGAATTCTGTTGGTATGAGGAAAGGTAAACAACAGCAATGGGCCATATAGTAAATTACATTTAAAAAAAAAAAACCTTTTCCAATCTTGTTGTGCAATTTTATACCATTGTTCTTATTGTCTATTTTTCTTTTCTTTGAAGTAAAAAGGGAAAAAAATCTTCTGATGAAAATAACCTTAAAAATAATACAGTAAATCCCTCTTGAACTCACATACATTCTTCTTACTCCTAGATTTTTGAAAACAGGGAATTTGAGGCACAGAAAAGTGAATTTCCTGTGTTCTGTGATGATACTGAAGGCAAAGAACAATAATACCCAATAATACCTAATAATACATACTTCCTACTATGCATCAGGTACTGTTTAAGTGATTTGCATATATTTACTCATCTAATTCTCACTATAATCCTTTAATGCAGAGCTTATTATCATCTCTTTGTTAAAGACAATGTAACTGAGTGCTGTACAGTTTAAATAGCTCCCCAACTGAGTAAATGGTAAGGTGGGATATAAACCCAGTCTGGTTCAGAGAATTGTCTTCTTAACTACTACACTGAAATCCAAGATGTGAATTGTGCATTTGGAGCGTATGATGTTTGGTGATATGTAAGTGCCATTGCAATGAGTGATAAAACACCAAACATGTCAGTACATTTGCAAACATAGATAACTGGTCCAATATTTTGATGGGCTGTGCCTAATTAAAAATACCTATGCTGTTGGTCTGGGGATGTAGCTCAGTAGTAAAGCACCTGACTAGTATCCATGAGGCACTGGGTACAATCCTTACTTACCACTAACACAAACAAACCAAAACCCCTTCTCAAATCATATATACCTCATTTACACAGGTATATACTCAATTTTTAAAAACATTGTGATCAAGCCATTTTGTTAAACAGACCCAGTGTGACATGACTCTAAAGTTCTTCAGTATTGGTAACTATATTTTCACTAGAAGAGAAATTCCCAGGAATGAGGACTATGAAAATCTTTTAACTTTTTAAAGAAAAACCATATTTGGTGACAATAAAAATAAGGCATGATAACATGTAGAAGAAGGAATTTTCATTCATCACATTAAAAAAATCATCAGGTTACATCACTACTGAATGTAATCACCTAATTTAAACTACAATATGAAAGTTAAAACTGAAAAAAAAATTTTAAGAGCAATAAAAAGTAAGACAGCAAGGCTAGATAATAATACAAATACTGAAGAGAGTTAAAGTGCTTAACCGTGCTAAAAGAATCAAAACTGGTTTTCATTCGTTGATAAAATTCAAACCTTACTTAGTAGACCACTTTAATATTGCTTTTGCAAGCCTTATAATTTCAAGCTATCCAGGGAGCTTCCGGTTATCTAGATAGTTAACTGAAACATGGACTGATGGTGAACTTGTAGAGGAAAGCAGTACGTTCAGCAGTCAGCATCTCAAATATTAGGTAATATTCTAACAGAGCAATGCGGTTACCATTGCTGGACAAAGTCAGAAAACTGTAGCTATGTTATTACCTTTGACCAATTGATTCTCTTCATGGATACTTCAGGTTTATATATTTTTTTCTGCTTCATTCCATAGGGAAGATCAAGTGGTGCTCCTGGGGGAAGAGGAACTCCTCCAAGCGGTGGTGGCAGAGGAGGCCCCCCAGACAAAGGTGGTGGTGGTGGTGGTGGTGGTACTGGTCCCACTCCATGTAATGGAAGTGGTGGAGGAGGAGGAACTCCAGGTAGAGGTGGTGGTGGAGGTGGTGGTGGAGCTTGGCCAACACCTGGCATTGGTGGTGGTGGAGGAGGGCCTGGAGGGCCTACTGAACCTGAGGGTCCATGTCCCTGAAATATAAATAATTCAAGTTTAAATACTTATAATAAAATGCAGCAGAAACAATACATGTCAGTAGATATTTATGGTTTGGTTAAGATTATATATGCTTTAATTAATTTTAAGGATTATACAGTGTTACAGTACACTTTAAAAAATTATATAGACTTTTGATAAACATTACAAACTAGACAGTGACTGCTTCTAATAAATTAATGCAAGGAAAGTTGACATCTACTAACATTTATCAAATAATCCTCCAAAACAATGTAAAAATTACCTTTCATTATAAGCACTTCCAAAGAAGATGTACTGCATGTGGCTGGAGCATATTAGACCAGTGGGTCCAAATGTAGGATAATTAATACAAGGTCATGGATTCAAATCTCTTGGAAGCCAATTAGCCTTACGTAAGAGTCTATTTCATAGCAACATTAACTAAGCTGTGTTTTAAAACCAATTATCAAGCTAGGTGTGTTGGTACACATTTGAGATCCCAGAATTCATAAAGCTGAGGCAGGAGAATCTCCAGAAGTTCAAGGCCAGCATAGTGAGTGGCCTACATAGAGTTCATAGCAAGAACTATATAGCAAGACCCTGTTTCAAAAAACCAAAAAACTAAAAAACAAACAAACAAAACAACCCAGCAACACCACCAATAATTAATACTAAGATAATGGATAAAGAAACAACACTTTATTTAATATTTTCTTCTTTTCTGATGATTACTCTGTACTCATTTCTTTAAACTACTACTGATCACAATGATTCAATTTCAAAACTGAATATAAAAATGGAGGCATTCATTAAAAATATTTCCAAGAAACCAGGACCAGTGAACAGGTACCATTGATAATCAAGATAGAGCATTAGATTAACAGAATAAAGGGTTTTGCACATCTAAAGAAATCACCGGCAAAGTAAAAAGAAAACCCACAAACTTGGAAAAAATTTTAGCTGATTGTCCCTCAGACATAGGGCTTCTATCTAGAACATATAAAGAATTAAAAAATATCAGCCCCTCCAAATTCAAAGACCCAATCCAAAAATGGGCAGCGGAGATGAATACACACTTCTCAGACAAGGAGATACAAATGGCAAATAAATATATGAGAAAATGTTCAACTTCATTAGTCATTCGAGAAATGCAAATTAAAACAACACAGATATTCTACCTTACCCCAGTAAGAATGGCTAGCATTAAGAAATCAACCAATAACAAATGCTGGCAAGGTTGTGGAGAACTAGGAACCCTTCTCCACTGCTGGTGGGAA